TACAACATGTCTACCACACAAGCAAACATGTTTAAAATGCATCTGCATTCCCACCCTTTAATGAGTGACAGAGATGGCAGTGCAGAGATTTTTATCACTCATAATTAATCACTTGCTTCACAGGCGCTGTCATTTAGATAAATCAAAATCGTGTTTTTAACGTGATGTAATGCCACTGAATAAAGGCCTGTTTGTTGGCAGTGACGTCAGTCGTTGCAGGTGACAAGAGTGGAATGATTTACACAAGCAATTAACTGCAAGTATCTGTGTGAAAGTGAGAGCGCCTGCGTCCTCTAGACACCTAATTAGCTAACAAGGAAACTTAGGCTCAGTGTTACACAAAATCTCCTACATTGCAAGCACGACCTTATTAAAAAATTCTGTCGCCATTAGCAGAAAGGATTTTTGTGCTACATTTCACCAAAGGTGAATTATCTTTCAGCGTGTCACTCAATCCTGCATCCTCTTGCATGTTTGCTGTGTCACATCAGTCTATAAACATGCACACAATGCCAAAGTCTTCCCAAGACAACACTTACATTACACATCAAACATGTTCGCAAAAGAACACAAAACATGATACATACTGCAACGTTCCAGTCCAACAACTGCATATTAGCTACAGATCTGTACTAATCCAAACACAAACACAAAGCCTATGCCACTCACACCCTACTGTACATAACACGATGAGCAAACAGATTCTGCCGGTGCTAAGAGATATCTGTGCAAACACAAAAACACATTCACAAACAGACTTTCAGTCGAAGAGAAACATACTAAATGCTTCGAGGTAACGGAAAGGTCAAAAGATAACAATACTAGCCCAAATACCACAGATGTAATTTTTTGTAATCTCAGTTTCTTAATTAAATCTGAACTACTTTAGCATTAAAGAAAAAAGTCAAATTTGGAAAGAAATTAAATTAAGCATCAAGCTCTTCTAGTTAAATAGGGTCCATTAATTTATGGATTTTTTGTATAAAAATTAACTTTGCAACCATCTAAGTACGTGACTTTGCTCTCAATCTCAGCCTAAAAAAAGTGGCACTTCAACTCAGTTTATCATGTGATCCAAGTTTGATGTGGTCAAACGTGACTAATTGCAGTGTGCTATCCCACAAGGCAGCTCCATTTGTGGTAATTTGATAATAACCGCAAGGTTTAAACTTGTACAAACATCAACATGTAAAGTACACTGTGCTCTTTTGTAGTAAAGCCGCGATCGCACGCTGACATCGAACCGACATTATTTACGGCTTTTCTTTTACTGTTCCTGTCATCCCCAAACAACACGCTGGAGACAAGGTCCTGTCATGCCAGTTGGAACAGTGCACATTCACATGTAAATAGATGCCTTTATCTCTCTATTGTGTTTGCACACATGGACCTCCTGAAGCTGGTATATCCCACCTGAATAATTCAGTACTTGTATTATTGTTATTATTACCTTACATTTCATACTATTCTGCATGTCTAACAGGTGCTGCCCTGCAAGTTTTCCATTTTAATATTTTTCCATTTTAAATTAATTATTAGATTTAGAGATATTATTCAGGCACATATCAAAGCAGAATCATTAGTACAAACTTCTTTTGAAAAGATACACACTGCCTTTCAAGGGTTTGGAGTCGGTAAGATTGTTTTAATGTTTCTGACTCTCTTAAGTCTCTTATGCTCAGCAAGGCTGCATTTATTTGATTAAAAATACAGTAAAAACAGTAATATTGTGAAGTATTACTACAATAAATAACAGTTTTCTATCAGAATACATTTTAAAGTGCATCTTATTCCTGTGATGGCAAATCGGATTTTTCAGCAACAATTACTCCAGTTTTCAGTGTCACATGATCCTTCAGAAATCCTTCTAATATGCTCATTTGCTGCTCGTGAAACATTCTCTATTATTATTAATGACAACAGTTGTGCTGCTTAATATCTTTGAATAGAAAGCCTAAAGAACAGCATTTAATAAAAGTAGAATTTTTTGTAACATTATAAATGTCTTTGATATCACTTTTGATCAGTTTAATGCATTGATTTATTTATTATTTATTATTATTATTGAAAATAACACAAACTTCTACTGACCATGTAATTATATACAAATACTGGAATATGTTTGTACTGAATATCTATCTATCCATCCATCCATCTATCATATTTATTGAAAATAATATTTAAACTTTCTTTAAATTAACACAATTATATACACACTATGTATGTTTGTACAGAATACTGTGCTTTTATTAAATATAAAAAAAAATTTCACTGCCATAATTTTCCTTTTTAAATTATGCATACATTTTATTACAACATTGAACATAAAAAAGTGAAATGTTAAAAGTGTAAAATAAAGAGGAAAAGAATAAAGGCAGGAATGGTTTGTCGAACTCTACATATGTGCATATATATATAAACACACACACTCACACACAATCATTCCCATTTTAATTGGTCATAATTACAGAGAGTAACTGAGATCTTAGAAGAAAATCAAATGTTCAAACGTTGTTATGCAACATTAGACCTGAACACCCCATGCCTTTATTTCAACTCAATCACAGTTCATTACAGTCTTTATGCTTGTCGTCCTTCTGTCATTTCTCCATCTGATTTATTTGAATAACTTATAAACAAGACTATAAATGCTCACAGACAAAGACAGAATGTGCATGGAGGAAAAAAAGCACATCACTTTCTTCCTGAAACATTCCTTTAAGCATAAACGAATATCCTACAAAAAACCACCAAGCAGTACTCTCAAACAAAATAGCACTTTGCTGACCCCTGTGTGTAAAAACTGGAAACCGAGCATGTGTGTGTATGTGTTTTCTCTGCCACTCTTTCTGCCATATCCAAACAAAGTGCGGTGAGTAAAAAATGTAAACTACAATCAGAGAGTAGCAGTGATCTACCACTTCATTACTGCGGGCACTGATTGAAACACCTATCTTTAATGAACACTCCCGGCAAACGCACACACTTGCAAGCCTAAACTGATGGTGTAGTTAAATCAAGCTTGTTTATTTTTCCACATAGCAATCCTGCGGTTGTCGTAGTATAACAGCAATCTTTAAATATGAACTATACTCTCCCTTAGTCCTATGTCTATGCTTAAAGTACTGTTTATTCGGCTGAGGAGCCACAGCAGTACAAAATTAATTGTGACAGTGAACATCCTGCCATTATCTGTCATCACAGCAGATGATCCTCCTGATGGGACACCCAGAACACCTCCCATTCAGTATAATGGATGCCTGTCTTTTGGCCAGTGTTTTGCAGTGAGTTTCCACCTGAATTATTTAGTTCCATATTACGACAGCTGCTGTATTTAACAGTACGTTTTCAGCCCACAGGTGCACTTTCCATCCTACTGACTTACAAACCAACCACTGAGGCTCATGAATCATTTTAGACAAACTGTCACTCCAAAAGGTATTTGATCAGTTAAGCCCTTTTTAAAAATGTATGAATGTATTGCCATTATATAACAAAATATCAAACCAAGTCACATTTGTTTTAAAGAAATATAGCTCAAAAACACAGTAAATTTATCCACCAAAACTGGATCAAAAAAGTGTTAATACTTGAAAAGCACTATTTGTACTAATACATAATACAATGACATTGATACATTTTAAATATGACTTGAGTGTCCAAAAGAAGACACTGTAGTTATCAAACACAAGCGGTCATTAAATGGTGTAAGAATTACTTGAGGGGCTGTTCACACAAGATGCGTATTTGTGTTTAAAAACGAGAGATGAGGCGGGGTGGAGTTAAAAAAAAGCACAGTCTGAAGAAGGATTTAACAAAAAGAGTGCTGTGTCATGTGTGATATACTGCAAAAGACGTGAGATGCAAGCAAAAACATGTCTGTCAAAAACGCATTCTGTGTGAATGGCCCCTTAGTATGTTTTTGATTGAGCTTGACAGCAGGAAATCAAAAATGACTCTATTCATTTTCTTAATAAAATGTCTCTGGTCTTATTGTGGATGATTCATCAGTGCATGTTGTTCAATAAAAGTTTCCATGATCTCTCATCAGATGTAGTAACTTCTCCTGCTTCCAAAATTACTTTCATTTTTCTTCCGTAACAAATGCCACATGAGTGGGGTAAAATAATATTAACCAACAATATTACACCACGCAACGGAAGATAAATGGTTTGCGAAAAAATGCTTTTCAAGGAAAATTTCACCCAAAAATTTAAATTCAGTCATCGTTTTCTCACTCTCATGTAGTACCAAAGCCGCATTACTTTAAGGAAGATGGTGAGTAAACGGTGACAGAATTTATTTTTTGGATGAACAAATCTTTTAATTCCCGGTCAGTATAATTATTCCAAAGAACTTGTTTTATGGAGCATTCAGTTGTTTTCTTTGTGTGGTTGAAACATAATAAACTCCAGCAAAAAACATGACACTGTTGTTTCTCTCTGATACCCAGCTGAACAGATTTAATTGGTTTTTCCTGTGACTGAACTCATGAGTAGCTGAAGGAAACAATATCAACAGAAATGTCTCATGCGTATCCCTCCGAATTATCTCGTCCCTATTCTGCTTTTGATCTTCTTATTCCATCATCTTCCTCTCTCCCTTCCTCTCCCTCACTTTAACTGCCGTTTGTTCTTGTTTCCCATAAATTACCCTGTGGAGCACCCACACAGAAGTTCACACACACCATGATGGCCAATGCTCTGACTAACATCCCCCTGACCTCATCCCAGATGACTAGACATTAGGGGTGTGGGTAAAGGAACAGAGAGTGAAAGAAAGTCTTCTCTATTTGGTTAAGAGTTTTTTTCTTTCCAAAGTATTACTTGGATGGGGTCATTTGTTCACCTCACAGACACCGAGAAAGAAACCAAAGTCATTATGAAACAGTTTGTGTCTGTCCAGGAGGAGATTTTGAGAGTCGAAAGACAAAGAGCATCTGTGTGACTGAGAAATATTGAGAAAGTAAGCTAGAAGTTGGGAGAATGAGAGAGTTTTACCTTGACGTGAGACTGTGCTCCAAGGTTGTATATTTCAGTGGGTTTGACTTCATTAATAATCTTTACCAAGCACGTGCTGTCAGTCAAGTCTCCGTAGTGCAACTTCATGTCTATAAGGCACAGAATAAAAGAATGAATTTCATTCCTCTTAAATGTGACAGAGCAATCTGAAAAGTTTGAAGTTTAAACATTTTTTCCTCCACATCGGCTCAAGTTTAAAGATTGTCACTTAAGCGAAAACAACCAGAGACCCAAAACAAAGAGGTCATATCCATGTCTGAAATGTTTATTAAATTGTTTACGGAGCACAAAAAAAAAGAAGAAAAAAAAAAAAAGAAATAACTGGAGAATCCATTTCTAGATTTTTGTGCAAAACTTTGAATTTAATTTTATTTAATTTTGCTTTCAAAGCCAAATACAGACTGAAAGACCTATTTGAATGGCAAATGTTTTATACAGGGACTAATAAGTGACTTTATTACAATTTCAAACTTCTCCCACCATCCAGGAGAAAATTCCTGGTCAAGTTAAATTTGGTCATTTTATATGGATGAATCAGTTCATATGGATGAACTGGGCCTAAATTGACACTTTTATAATTAGAATTTGGATATTTTTTTGTTACAAAGGAAGCTGGTTTCCGTAAACTATCCAACTAACTTTCTGTACATAGTACAGTAGTCACCTCTAAACCTGTGAAACTTTTGGCATCTTTCAGCTGTAACTTAGTATGTACTGCATTTTCCCACTGTAGGGCACTATAACTGTCCGGCATTTTTTTGTATACATAATAATTTTGGAGAGTGAATTCTGTCGTAGACTTTTGGCACTCCCATAAATAGGCAAACTCTTGTTTGTACAAAACAGGATTAAGCACTTAAAAGAAGAGTGACAACCATATTTAACTGCATTGTGTATATGACATCCCCTATATGAATAAAAATAGAAAACTTCTTTGTCTTCCCTGTGATTAACTGCAGTCCAAATGCATGAGTTTTATCACAGAGGAGCCATACCAATGATTTTCTCAGACTTCAACCCAAAAGAAATAATTACAGTCCAAATATTGCTTAGGAATGTTTAGATTGCCACCGTAAAGGAAAATACCTTAAAAATAAATTAAAAATACTGAATTAACAACTTACAACACCCAGTGAATCCAATGCCTAGTGATATTTTACACAGGTTAGAAGACATTTATGCATTTACAAACATCATAAAACATGCATATCACAGCCAGGTGTGTTTATGTGAAACTCACTTCCTTCTGTGTGTGTTTGAGGGTTATGATAAAGGTGCTCAATCCGGCCCGTGTTAAAAGAACTGGACCTGCGGAGGATACCGTGAACCTGCCCAAAACAAGAAAAATTCCAGTCTTTTAAGTATATAGGACTTTAAACTGAATTTATGTACACGACTGTTCAAAGGTTTGGGATCACTAAGGTTTTTGTAGTAGTAGTAGTAGTAGTAGTAGTATATATTTATTTAATGCCATGTCAGCATCTAAGGCTTTTTTCATGGCAAAAACAATTTAAAAATACAAGTATAACAAATACAATAAAAACCAGCAAACAAACAAACACAAGTTATATTACACAATATTTTTTACATTGACATATGATAAAAATCCTAAAACTTTTTCTGCCATAATTATACTAAATAACTCTTTAAGTGAGTTCGCTTCATAAAAGAGTTTTCTACATACATTAAAAGCTGGACAGTCCAATAAAATATGTTTGACAGAAAGGGGAATCTTGCAGAACATGCATTGAGTAGGGTCTTCACCTTTAAGCAAAAATGCATGAGTCAGTCTTGTATGATATGCGACATCTGGTAAATACCACTTGATCAAATCTAGTTTTAAAAGAGAATAAAAATCTGTTTGAAATTTCTGGATGTATTTCATGTAATTTATTATTTGTACATGTATCCCACTCTCCTTGCCACTTATTTAATATATAACGATTAACAATAGGTCTGATCTCTGAGGGAGGAATTTGACATGGGTTTACTTCCTGATTAAAAGCCTCCTTTGCAGCTGCATCAGCTCGCTCATTTCCTGAAAGCCTAACATTGCCTGGAACCCAGCAAAAAATAATACAATAGAATTGATTCTGTAGATGGTCCACTTTGGTTAAAATACAATCGATCAAAGGATGATCAGTTTTTAAAGAGTCCATTACTTGAAGGCATGATTTAGAGTCCGTAAAAATGATAGAATCCTTTTGTTGTGTATTTTCAATATATTCCAAAGCTAATAGCAAAGCACATGCTTCAGCTGTGAAAATTTAACACTCTTTTGAAATACGAATTCCATAATGTTGCCGTCCTAAGTTTTTTATTACGAAACTAATACTTTTATTTAGCAAGGATACAGTAAATTGATCAAACGTGACAGCAAGGATATTTAAAATGTTACAAATTTTTTTTTAAGTAAAAGCTGTTATTTTGAACTACTGATCAAAGAATCCTGAAAAAATTACCTAAAATGTTACTTTAAATTGTAATAATATTTCACCATATTACTGCTTTTACTGTAAAAGTTTTTTTTATTTTGATTAAATAAATGCAGCCTTGCTAAGAATAAGAGACTTAAAAAAAAAAAAACATTAAAAAATTGACCCAAAAATTGAACAGTCAAATATTTCTTTATCTATTAAACCTTTAAATGAGATGCAACCCATTTTAATTGAAATCTTATGAACTTTCATATTTGATTATTAACAGACAGTGAGATATTTGCATCAGATCAATGTGGGAATGATTTCTGACGGGTTTGTAGCATGCCTTTAAGGGTTACATTGGCTTACCCACCTTATAACCTTTAGCACAGGGACTAATAAGTGACTTTATTACAATTTCAAACTTCTCCCACCATCCAGGAGAAAATTCCTGGTCAAGTTAAATTTGGTCATTTTATATGGATGAATCAGTTCATATGGATGAACTGGGCCTAAATTGACACTTTTATAATTAGAATTTGGATATTTTTTTGTTACAAAGGAAGCTGGTTTCCGTAAACTATCCAACTAACTTTCTGTACATAGTACAGTAGTCACCTCTAAACCTGTGAAACTTTTGGCATCTTTCAGCTGTAACTTAGTATGTACTGCATTTTCCCACTGTAGGGCACTATAACTGTCCGGCATTTTTTTGTATACATAATAATTTTGGAGAGTGAATTCTGTCGTAGACTTTTGGCACTCCCATAAATAGGCAAACTCTTGTTTGTACAAAACAGGATTAAGCACTTAAAAGAAGAGTGACAACCATATTTAACTGCATTGTGTATATGACATCCCCTATATGAATAAAAATAGAAAACTTCTTTGTCTCCCCTGTGAAAAACTGCAGTCCAAATGCATGACTTTTATCACAGAGGAGCCATGCCAATGATTTTCTCAGACTTCACCCAAAATAAATAATTACCGTCCAAATAGTGCTTAAGAATGTTTAGACTGCAACCATAAAGGAAAATACCTTAAAAAAATTAATTAAAAATACTGAATGGACAACTTACAACCCTTAGCGGATCCAATGCCTAGTGATATTTTACACAGGTTAGAAGACATTTATGCATTTACAAACATCATAAAACATGCATATCACAGCCAGGTGTGTTTATGTGAAACTCACTTCCTTCTGTGTGTGTTTGAGGGTTATGATAAAGGTGCTCAATCCGGCCCGTGTTAAAAGAACTGGACCTGCGGAGGATACCGTGAACCTGCCCAAAACAAGAAAAATTCCAGTCTTTTAAGTATATAGGACTTTAAACTGAATTTATGTACACGACTGTTCAAAGGTTTGGGATCACTAAGGTTTTTATAGTAGTAGTAGTAGTAGTAGTAGTAGTATATATTTATTTAATGCCATGTCAGCATCTAAGGCTTTTTTCATGGCAAAAACAATTTAAAAATACAAGTATAACAAATACAATAAAAACCAGCAAACAAACAAACACAAGTTATATTACACAATATTTTTTACATTGACATATGATAAAAATCCTAAAACTTTTTCTGCCATAATTATACTAAATAACTCTTTAAGTGAGTTCGCTTCATAAAAGAGTTTTCTACATACATTAAAAGCTGGACAGTCCAATAAAATATGTTTGACAGAAAGGGGAATCTTGCAGAACATGCATTGAGTAGGGTCTTCACCTTTAAGCAAAAATGCATGAGTCAGTCTTGTATGATATGCGACATCTGGTAAATACCACTTGATCAAATCTAGTTTTAAAAGAGAATAAAAATCTGTTTGAAATTTCTGGATGTATTTCATGTAATTTATTATTTGTACATGTATCCCACTCTCCTTGCCACTTATTTAATATATAACGATTAACAATAGGTCTGATCTCTGAGGGAGGAATTTGACATGGGTTTACTTCCTGATTAAAAGCCTCCTTTGCAGCTGCATCAGCTCGCTCATTTCCTGAAAGCCTAACATTGCCTGGAACCCAGCAAAAAATAATACAATAGAATTGATTCTGTAGATGGTCCACTTTGGTTAAAATACAATCGATCAAAGGATGATCAGTTTTTAAAGAGTCCATTACTTGAAGGCATGATTTAGAGTCCGTAAAAATGATAGAATCCTTTTGTTGTGTATTTTCAATATATTCCAAAGCTAATAGCAAAGCACATGCTTCAGCTGTGAAAATTTAACACTCTTTTGAAATACGAATTCCATAATGTTGCCGTCCTAAGTTTTTTATTACGAAACTAATACTTTTATTTAGCAAGGATACAGTAAATTGATCAAACGTGACAGCAAGGATATTTAAAATGTTACAAATTTTTTTTTAAGTAAAAGCTGTTATTTTGAACTACTGATCAAAGAATCCTGAAAAAATTACCTAAAATGTTACTTTAAATTGTAATAATATTTCACCATATTACTGCTTTTACTGTAAAAGTTTTTTTTATTTTGATTAAATAAATGCAGCCTTGCTAAGAATAAGAGACTTAAAAAAAAAAAAACATTAAAAAATTGACCCAAAAATTGAACAGTCAAATATTTCTTTATCTATTAAACCTTTAAATGAGATGCAACCCATTTTAATTGAAATCTTATGAACTTTCATATTTGATTATTAACAGACAGTGAGATATTTGCATCAGATCAATGTGGGAATGATTTCTGACGGGTTTGTAGCATGCCTTTAAGGGTTACATTGGCTTACCCACCTTATAACCTTTAGCCAGCAGAAACTCAGCAAGGTAGGACCCATCCTGAAACCACATAGAGGGAGAATTATTTTGGGCTTTGAGAAACACACACACACATTTACGGCAAGCATTACCCAAGAGAGTATTCAACACAATGACCATTTCTTTCAGAATTTCATGAGCCAGACCGCAGCGAATACACACCTACATTACACAAATACGCGTTTTTGCACACGTACGCACACGCGCTCGTGTCGAAACTCACCCTTGTGTCTTTCCAAAGCTCTATGACTTTATTTCTTTCAAGCAACACAACTATTTTTGCCCCAATGGATCCAATTATATGGACAAAAAATACATTTTTCTAAGTATCTTCTTTTGTGTTTAACAGAAGAGAGAAAGTCAAACAGTTTTGGAACGACATGAGGCTGAGTATATGATGACAGAATTGTCATTTTTGGGCGAGCTATCCCTTTAACAGCAGAGAACTAAAACTCCCCTCACTAAAAAGAGCTCCATACATAGTCTGCAAAGAAAACAGTCAACAAGACAGCTAACAAATAAGTAAGGAGTGCCTACGGGCTACAACACACACCGTAAGCGCCAGTGTAATACAAGATTACGGAATCATCCGAGCGCATTACACACACACACACACAGACAAAAGAGTATTAATTGAGCAAACAAGGCCATCGTGTCAGTCAGTGAAAGCCTGACAGCTCAGTTTAAACCTCTGAATCCACCTGACTGTCAAAAAGTGACACGGCCATACCCTAAAGACACGTTTTAACCTAAGACATAAACAACTTTCGAGTCTCTTTCATTCTTATTCTCGTCTCCTTCTCGTTCTCCCTTTTTCCCCTCTCATACTTCCCGACCGCACATTTTAGAACTGTGGAACATTCCACCCCGGCCATGGCATTCCGCCCCCTACTTCCTGCTGGGGTGATATAGGCACAGTCCCAAAGACCTTTGGGGAAAAAATGAGAAGCTCCAGCAGCCGTGTGTGTGCCTGTATATAAGTATATATGTCCGCAGAGGAAAAGATGTGCTTAAAGATACATTTCCGTTTCCTTTTCACACCGTTCGCTGGCCATTTACATAAAACCCGTTCAATGTCCGACCACCTGAGGCTCTGTGTGTGTGTATATGTGTGTGACACAACCAGTGCCAACTGCAGTGCGGACTCATAACCCTGATAAAAAGCAGCTTATCGTCATGCTGAGACTGTTGGGAAACGTTGCCTGTTTCCCGCAGATTACGTTCATAGACAGGAAACCTAGACGGACACGACATTCCAACCAGTCTGTGCATACTCACACACTGGCCTACCTTAAGCCACCAATCACTTTCAGTCTGAATTATAAAATCTTTAAAATAAATCACTTTTTAATTCTTAATCATCTCTTATTTTGAGTCAAACCACATGTGCGAAACATCTCAGAAACGCTGACTAATTTAGAAAAACTTTCCATTGCAATTACAATCACCCTTGCGCACCACATAAAGATAAATCTATAGGCCTTTAGACCTCTGCACGAGACACAGGCTGATTGCTAATGGCAAACTGTGGATGCATTTATGCTGAGAAAACCAGAATGGTAAAGGAAAGAATGAAAGCTAATCAAATAAGCCCACTTAACTTGCACAACCAAAACAGTCTGTGTGTCTGTCTCTCTGTCTGTGATGTAGGCTATTATCTCTGTCAGTGTACGTACTGCGTGTCGGTTTGTCTGTGTGTAAATAGGTCCCTTACCTTTGCCCTTGACCGCAGTAAAGCAGTCTTTCTCTGTTTACCACCTCAAAGCACAAATCCAAACAAACAGCTGTGTTCCTTTATTAACCACAAGTGGGCGCAACAACTTTAACATAATTAACTGCACACATCAACAAAATACACACAATTAAAGCGTTTTACTATTCATTTTGGTTATGGCAACTGCATTTGAAATATGCTGTAATTTGTGTCCAGTAAGGGTTTTATAGTGACAGACCTACACCAAATTATAGTCTAAAATGTTTAAACTGCTTCCATACATCAGACAGTGTTTGTTTGATTATTTATTTTAATCTGTCTGAAATCAAATGATTACCAAAAATTACAGTCATGGCCAAAAGTTTTGGCAGTGACATAAATTTTGTTTTGCAAAGTTTGCTGCTTAAGCTGCTGTGGTGTTCATTCACATTGTTTCTAGATTATTGTGTAGAGTGATCAGATGCATTTTAAATAATTGCTAAAAGCTTCATTGGCCAAAAAAAGAACTTTTCACAAAAAAAAAAACAATTTCACTGTTTTTTGATCCTGACACAAAATGACCAGCTAACATTAATTTACTAATCATATCAGCGGCACATGTGAAAGTGTTAATGAATCAGGCGCGGACTGGCCATTGGGAGCACCGGGACGATTCCCGGTGGCCTGGCGGCTGATTTGGCCCGCAGCCCTGTTTTTTTTTTTTCTTTTTAATATTATTAATATGTTTGCCTTCTCAATGTACCAAAGTGATCATTTCCGATTTTGTCATTCGCTAATAAATCGCTAATAAATTATAAATCGTCTTGACTGGCAGCGCTGCGCTAAATGAATCAGCTCACGTGTGTTCCGCGCTTCCGTCAAATGGTTTCGACCACAGCAATCGATGTGCGGGACTCAATGAATGAGAGGAAGCGGCCAGAAGAAGCAGTGAAATGTAGTGAAATAAATTACTAACCTGTTCAGGGCTTCGAGTGCATGTCAGTTTCATCTCTAATACAATACTGTAGTTTTGTCTTTATTGATCTAGTTGAGTATTAAAGTGCTAGCACCTGTTAGGCTGTCAGGAGCACCCCATTATTATCATCAGTCAGAATACTGTGCTAAAGGACATCATTATTATCGATTGTAAAGTTACATTACTACATTTAGCAGATAGTGTAACATGTCTGCCTGTTCTGTGTTTCCATTATGTTTTTATTTCATGATTATGCATAATGATGCATTTGAAAGTACATGACCAAATGGATGTTTATAAACGTTCACATTACTGTTGCAGATGAAATATAACACGGATAACAATAAATATTTTTTACCAGGTTAAATGTTGATATTAGTAACTCAAACCCCTTTTTGTAAACCTCTCTACCTAACTGTCGATCGTGCGCATCCGCCACGTTTGTAGTTTTTCTAACGCGTTTTATTCGTGTTTGTAGTTCTGGACTGAATCCTTCGCCAAAGCGCAATGGATTGTGGGCAATTTTAGCCATTAGAGTGTGCACGGATCCACACTTCAAAAATCGACCTGAAATAGTAACCATCCGGGGACTTTTGGCATACGGTGGCCCGATTCAAGGCTTGTCGCAAGCAGGGACGCGGGAAGTAGGGCTGCAGCACCCCCTGTTTTCACATAGTTGCAAATGCAACGCCAAGTTTGTTCATTTAAATTTATTCAGTTTTAGCATTTAATAATTTATTTGTAATGATCTCTAAAATGTAAATTGTAAGTGGGCTATAATAAACCCATGTTTATCTTTATAAACATTAATTTTACTTGTGATGTTTTCTATATGGGATGATTAGCCTAATCCTCATGAACACGTGACGCTAGCGCGTGGTATCAGACATGAACTGTACAGAATGCGAACAAGATTAACTTTAATAAGAGATAATGGCGCAAAAGCGAATTTCAGATTTTTTTTAAAATGTCCATCCCAGCAAAAACTTTCCAAAATCGGCAGCCCCAGCACGACCACCGACGTAAGTGAACCAGAACCAGTAAGTGACTCAGTAAGACTGAGCGTCCCCAAACTCAAATCGTGAATATCAAACTCTGATGTTTACTAGGGATGGGCGTATCGATCCAAAGTATCGATACTCAAACAAAAAATATAGATACTAAGGTGTGTTTTATTTACCAGTGATTTTGTTAATTTAACAACAACAAAAAATCATACAATATGCATTGAATTGGACGAATACCCTTTGTTAGCGAGTAATTGTGTATCAAACATGCCATGAAAGCAGAGAACATCACCCATATTCTTTTCTATTCTTTGTTTTTCACTGTGAAACTGAACGCGCGACAGGAGAGCCAGCTGACAATGTCGATTGTTATCCATTTGGTTTTCTTCTCTAGTCACGTTTGATCTCGGGTTCTGCGCAGATTTTGCTCATCTCAAACAAGCCTACTGTGAAATCGTTCCTACAATCGACAAGTGTGTGGTCTCGTGGTCTGGTCGAATCGTCTAGTGTGTGCATTCAGAGGATTATAAGGCTAAAAATCGGTTGAAACTGTCTTCATGTCTGTGGTCTCCCATGGTTTTAAAATCGGTTAAAGGTGCTGTATGTAGGATTGACACCGAGTAGTTGAACTAGGTATTGCAGTCCAAATTCAAAATATTGGAGTGGGTTTTTTCACCCGGCCCCTCCTCCTCAGACTTGACGCACACGCAGGTTGCCAGATTGACGACACCAACAGGAACGAGCGCACTTGACGATGAATCAAATGAAATACGCTGTGTTTTCCGCCAACTGGCAACCCGGGGTCCCGAAATACAATTGGGTAAACTGGCAGTGGGAGGGTTTCACAAACCAAAACAGAGACCAACATTCCGGCCCGGAACGCACATTTTCAAAGGAGAATAACTGACTGTAGCATTGTTTTTCAGATAAACAAGTATGTTAACTTAGCATGTTTCTTAAATATCTGCAAACATATTATGGTATTTTTATGCTTTAGTAGAGTCAAAAAACCTACATACAGCACCTTTAAGATTTGAAAATCGTCTAGTGTGCAGCCAGCCTTAGTCTTCGTACGTTCTCCGTTTATGTTAGGTTGGTTTCCGTGCCTTGTCTCTAGGATTTATCTAATTAAAAGACTTTTCTTTTGATCTCCTTCATCCTTGTGTATTTTGCATCACCAAAGCGTGACAGACAGATATTCACGTGGATTTATTGTATAGGAAGGGAGGGAGCTAGAGCAGACAGCAACACAAAAATATGAGTCAGCCTAATAATGCAATAATCAGTTTAAGGATTTTTCAATGTACTAATTTTGGCATTTAGGCACTTTAAAAAATGTGCTTTAATATATTTGTATGAATTGTTAAATCTTGGGTATAAAGCCAGGCTCACACTACAGGATTTTTGGCTGCATTTTGCTGTCGTGGACAGATTTCCAGTCTGCGACAAAACCCCCGGATCGTGACCAAATCGGTGCTCGTTGTGGTCGCCGAAGCTCGTTAAGTATGAGCAGGTCAGCACCGTGATCCGAACCTGTCTGGAGCTATCACAGACGCTACGACATTTTCAAACCTGTTTGATATTATCGCCACGTGATCTCGTAATGTGAGCGACACAATGACAAGGTGGAACTAATCCAGCCAATCACAGTGCAGGTATAAACACTCATCATGCATCTTTATGAACAGACATGAAAGGCCACAAATGAATCAAATCAACTATAAATTTAACAAATGCAAAGATTGTGTATATAATACCACATTTCATTGTACTGTTTAATTACCTCCAACTCTTTCTGCAGTATAGACAGTCCTTGTTGTCCACGTCTTTCAAGCCATTGTTTCTGCCATATTCTCTTTTGTCGTGGTTTCTTCTTTCTTTCGGATAAAACAACTGCACAGACCAATTGAAGGGCCAGTTGATCGTCCATGCTTGACGAAATGGCCTAATCGCGGTAATTTCTCGATAGAATTTATGTGAGAAAACGTATTTTCGCTGATGGTCGGGAATGCCTATTCACTGAATGTTTTGTAGTGTGTGCACCTCGTTAGCGGTGTGTTGTGTAATATGTGCGCAGCTATGACAAGACAACGACAGATGAGAAGAAATCTTGTTACGTAGTGTGAGCAACACAGTGATTCGGCTAGTCTTTCAATCATGTAGTGTGAGCTTGCCATTAGTCATTTTAAGAGAGATAACATTAGGCCTATGTGCAAACAAATTGCAATGAGGTGTGGATGTTTTGCAACAAGGTGGACACAGTTCTGTTAATAACAGTAGACCTGCTGGTAAAGAAGTGACAGAAAAAAGGGAGCGGTAGAGATATTGGAGAAAATGAAGAAAAGGAAAAGGGAAGTGAAGGTGCAGTTTAAGAGAGAACCTTTAATTATTTTCCACAGCCCCAGACTAAAGATTTAGACCTTTTTATGTGATGGTCATACAAATAATAGGGCTGGCCGTGTTTCAGAATTTGTTGTGGGATGGCCTGGATGAGTGTGAGATTTCCCAGCCTGAAATTTTGTCCCAGTCCGCCCCTGGAATGAATACTAGTCAGGTTAATCACTATCATACTAATTAGATTGTAAGAGCAGACTGATTGCTATAAAAGGAGGGAAGAAGCGCTTCCAATCATTGGGTGCGTCTTAATCAGCTCGTCAGTAGTCAGGGCACTGATCAGGGAGTCGGCCATTTTAAGGGCTGTCTCAATCGCTGTACGTAGTCACGTCATTGGAATTCGAGTGATCACGGTCCCAACGTGCAGTGAGTCAGGGAACTTACCAGTGACTGAATTAGTGTACACGATCTACTGATTCACGAGCTCGGGAGCTGATTGATACGCACCCATTGTGTTCTTGTTAGCAATTGTGTTCTTGTTAGCAATGGTTACCTCCAAAGAAACACGTGCAGCTATCATCGCTTTGCATCAAAATGGCCTCACATGCAAGGAAATTGCTACAAAGAATATTGCACCTGAAAGAACCATTTACCGGATCATCAAGAACTTCAAGGAGAGAGGTTCGACTGCAGTGAAGAAGTCTTCAGGACATCCCAGCCCACAAATTGTGATCAACTCTGAGAACTAATAAGGCAAGAATGGATCGCCATCAGTCAGGATTTGGCCCAGAAGCTAATATCCAGCATGCCAGAGCGAATTGAAGAGGTTATGAAGAACAAGGGTCAACACTAAATATTGACTCATTATATTTTTTTTGCCAATTAAAGCCTTTAAAATGTATGATATGCTTATCATTGTTTTCAGTATACCTTAGAAACATGTGGAAAAATAATCTACAAATACTGAAGCAGCAAACTTTGCAAAACACAAAATTAATGTCACTGCCAAAACTTTTGGCCACGACTGTACGTCTGATATTTTTGCCATGAACTTTTGCAAACGTGTGATGATAAAAGTATAAAACTCCAACAATAACTGGGAACGCTTTATAATCTACTATTTTCTAAACTGTGTTCAGAAAAACTAACAATAATATTAATCAATATTATTTTGTTCAATGTGTTGCATAGGAAGCGTCTGCCAAGAAGAAGCCCTTCTTACAAGGGGTAGGCAACGTCGGTCCTGGAGTGCCTATGTCCTGCAGAGTTTAGCTCCAACCCTGAAAAAAACTCACTTGTCTGTAGCCTTAGTAATCCTGAAGACCTTGATTAGCTTATTCAGGTGTGTTTGATTAGGGTTAGAGCTAAACTCTGCAGGACAGCGGCACTCCAGGACCGATGTTGCCTATCCCTGACGATTTGTGTCATTCGAGCGCCCTCTGCTGTTCATCAAGCAAACTGCATCCTGACTTTTTACTACGTTGTCGTCAAATTCCGCTTGCGCTCTGCCCAGGTTAAAGCTTCTATCATGAGACAAACCAGGAACTTCCTTCTTCAGTCTGCGAATGATAAACACCACGTACTGCAAACATTCAAGTTACCCAAGAATCTTCTCACCACATACACCCAAGCAAACTTTACTTACAAGCTGGTCTTTCTTTGATGGTCTTTAATCAAAAGAGTTCAAAAGAATATAAATAATTATTAATGTCGTGTATGCCCCACTTGGCATCTAATGCATTAAACCACGCCAGCAGTGATGTTCTGATGCACTTCAATGCATGTGAATTATTGTTTCTTTTTTTTAGAAAAAATACTGACTTAAAAAAATTACCCACACATTTATGTATGTATGTATGTGTGTATCATCTCATGCACACCAACACACACGGAAAGGAATCAAAATTAATACAAAATAATTTAAAAGGCAGAAAAAGGCATGTCTGCTTCCAACCCAGTTTGTCATTCACCTGCCAACATCACAACAACTGACAATTAAAGGCAAGGTACTTTCAAGATTCCATGGCATCGTGGCATTATACAGTGGAAGAGACTCTGTACACACTATCTGAAACAGACATATTTACACAAGCTGACATTCCCTCAAGCTGTATCTGGACCAGAATATAATTTTCATTTCATTAGAGTGTGTTTGTAATATATGAAAAGAAAATGGCAACAAAACTTTTCTGTAGACAACCGGTTCCCCCTTATGCATTCATACAATTCATTCAATCATATATTCTTTCATATAATTTCTCTCAGCAGGCTGCCTTCAGTTGTTTTCACACAAAACTTAATAAGTAGTTAATATGTGTAAGAAATAATGCACAGTTAGAATATAATGGCCAATAGTTTAGCAACAAATAATCAATAAACCTAACTCTGCTTGCCTCATTAAATATTTAAAGTGCTTTGTCACAGAAACATTAATGTGATGCATTTCTTTTAGTTTGGGAGAAATAAATGTTGAATTGTGGTGTAAAACACTTTAATTGGAGTGGAGAATAAATATACCGTTTTTAACCATTTAAATCTTACTATTACGGTCCAGAAAGTCTGGCCAGGACAAAATGGATGGCACATTCAGCAATATATATACACTGTGTGCACAATTATTAGGCAAGTGATGATATAATAATTCTGCACACTAATAGTTGCCTAATAATGGTGTACATGTAGATATTCTCTTAAGAACGCCAAAACTTCACTTTTACTACTTAAATGTTAAGGTTTGAGGGTTTGTTAACATTTTGGATTGACCAAGAGCACTGTAGTTGTACAATAACTAAATTAATCCTCAAAAATACAACTTGCCTAATAATTGTGCACACAGTATGTATATATATATATGTATATATATATATATATGCATAAAGCAAGACAAGGCCGTTACTTAAAACACGTCACATAAATGTGCAAAGCGAAACCTAGAAACCTGAATAGCAAGTATCATGGTCTGGATGCCTAGATATACACACCCATGTCTGTAACATACTTGAGCACTCTAAACTTACAAAAGACTTGTAAAACGTTTCACAACAGACTAGAAATTAAAGTTATGTCATTTTGTCTGCTTCCTATTCTGAACAGTTTGAACTTTCTCTATCCAGCAAACTGGAAAACTACATCACGCTTACCTGCTTATATCCTCAATGAACTTTTCAGAGGATGTGTCACATGTGTCTCCTGTTACATATAGTTCACAGTGATTCACAATGCAAAGTCCCAGGTGGGGCTAGATAAACAACAGCCAACAATTAAAGGACTCACATGAGACTCTTCTTTTTGTTCACAATATAGCTGTAAATGTTGCTTACCATATCAAATTATCACATACATACTCTACAGGCCTGGTGACAATTTGTTCCACTGTATACTTTTATATGTCTGCAATGGCAGTATGTATGTGATAATTTGATATGCTAAGCAACATTTACAGCTATATTGTGAACAAAAAGAAGAGTCTCATGTGAGTCCTTTAATTGTTGGCTGTTGTTTATCTAGCCCCACCTGGGACTTTGCATTGTGAATCACTGTGAACTATATGTAACATAGCCCTGTTATGCTTTACAGACATAACAGGGCACATTTGGACAAAGTCATAGCACTATACTATGCACCTTGTACTCTAAGCTTAGTTGTCAGTTACTTAAAGATAAAAAAAAACCTTCAAGTTGTCTCATAAAAGTCTGTCATCATTTCCTCACTCTCTAGTAAGAGGCTGACAGCCTCAGTCACTACTCACGGCATCTCTTTTTCTCTAATAAGAATGAATGGTGACTGAGGCTGTCATTCTGCTTGATATCACCCTTTGTTTTCCATAGAACAAAGAAGGTCATACAAACAGCATAAAGGTGAGTAAACATGACAGACTTTTGATTTCTAGCTGAACTCTCCGTATATACCATCGCGTCGCGTATGTTGAGACAATTCTTCACGTTACCTGACCGGTTATGCCTGTAATGATGGCCACTTTCCTCTTCGTCTTGCCGTCTCCGTTCACATCGCCACTGGCCGCCGCCGCCGCCGCTGCACATTGAGCCATTTTCTGGAGCTGGTTTCGGTTCGGAGTGTGTCTGTGGGGTCTGGATCCACTGTGCAAGATCGTTTGTCATGAACGGATGCAAACACATCCGAAACTCTAGCTGCTTGAGCGACACCTCAGGAACCTGCACTCAGCAGCCAATCACAGAGCACAGCGCCAGTGACGTGCGCACCACAGAATAAAGAGGAGCGAAATCCTGATGGCTTGGGGTGTAAATGTGTCACAGCGCCAACTAAAGGAATCGAGATTCAGGAGGAATTAAACAAACCACTTTTTAGGTTCTCACTTTATTAGCCTATTTATTACATATCTAATAATAATTGTTACAATTATATAATATGCCTACATTATATAATACATTCTAGGCCTAAATCACTGCTGAAATAACGGCTTCAACTAGTCTAGGCTGTTTTTCTGGTCTTTGCTGATATCTCAGTCTAGTCAAGCTGGTCTGTTAGCTGGTTTTAGTTGCTAAAGGGCTTTTTTTAGGGTCACATCGTTCATACATTATTGGTTGTGCCACAACCGTAGATAAAAAACAACAACCTTAAATGCCATTGCTCCGAGAAGAGATAGAAGGAATGAACAAGACAATCAAATGTTTGTTCAAAATATATTTTAATTTAGATAATATTTAAAGTTCTAACGCACATACACCACATAAGGCACTTACAAGTACAACAATATATCTTTTAAATAATGTACAAGTACTAATATATGAAAGTACTGTATTTTCCCTGTAGTTTATGAGCTATTATATTTCAGCTTTCCTCAATCCAGTCATCGCATATATAAAAACTGAAATCAAAACATAAAAATAAATAAATCTTTTATTAACGCTTAGACATCATGAAGTGATAGTCCTGGTTTTTCAGCTTTCACTTAGAATCCTAGTGTCTAAAAACACTACTTTGTTAGCCATCAGCTGACGTACAATATATTTAACTCCATTTACTATTTTGTGAAAGCATTTCAAGTAAACATCAGAAAACAGTATCTTTATATATAGAACCACACAAAACACACAATACAATTGTAGGTAGTGTTCTGTTTTTTTGTTTTTTTTTCGTTTGCCTTCATGGAAGGTGAGATGTCGACTACAAAGAGAGAGAGCGAGCAAGACCAAAAACAGCCAGTCTTGAAGCTAGTGTCCCAGTCTCAAATTTCTAACTTAAAAAACATGTGTACACAAAAATACAACGAAGTGTGAGATCAGCAGCATTACCTAAGCATTTTGCACAATACATTTGCCCTATGGGAAACCCTCTAAATAACATTCTAAATGACATTATTGAATAAAATGTTGTAAGTGAGAGCTGTATTTGGGTCATGGTTATTTGTATCAGATAACAGTAGCTACATGCACACATACAAACTCCAAACTCTGACATTTAGACTTCCTGAAAATCAGCAGAAATTACATAACATTCAAAAAATGATAGATTATATGCCAGATTTTGACATTAAGGGTGCTAGAGTTTCAAGTGTAAAATACAGTACCGTTTTTCCTGTGTGAATTCTAATGCCTTCACAAACATTACGTGAATGAAATGTTACCATAAACCAGTGATGTACAGAATATTACCATAAGACTCGATATATTTGTGCGTATAGAGTATGAATGATGATTTCTGTTGCACTCTTAGTCATTCACATACTTCCTCCAGTCCTGGCCTATTATAAAGTACACATACAAGACCAACTTACTGTAGAATTAACTGTATGTAGTAATTTTTCATAAGACGACAGCCACCAGACAGTTAAAAAAAAACACTTAAACCAGGACTGAAGCACAGGGCAAGTTTGTCATAGAGCCATAAATGGTTAACATTTTACAAAATGGTGAAATATTCTTGTAAGTGGAGAGCTGTACTTTTAATGTGTTGTATGCTGTTTTAACTTAAGGTTGAGGTAAGTCAGTAATAGACATTGTACAGTTCAGTATTTGACTGTAATATTAAACAGATGTTGTGTAGTTGTTCAGGTACAGCAGTATTGGTCCAGTGTGTCACCAAGGCATCAGGAGAGCCAATGATCACTTCTGCAGAAAACATTAAATTAAGGATACCACAACTAAATGTTTATTACTTTTTTAACATTTAAAGGGACAGTCCACCAAATAAAAATAAATTCTGTCATCATTTACCCTTCCTTATGACTTCCTTTCTTCTGCAGAACACAAAAGAAGATATTTTAAAGAATGTTGGAGCACAAAAAAACAATGGGTGAGACAGGAAACTGTTATCAACAGTCTTCTTTTGTGTTCTGAAGTAGAAAGGCATACAGGATCGGAACGACACGAGTGCGAGTAAACAATGACAGAATTGTCATTTTTGGGTGAACTATCCATAGATATTTCAGGTTATGCATCTTACCTGTTTATCCCTCTGGAGGAGGGGCATGAGAAGAGTGACACTTGTTTTTCTTTGAGAGAAACAGGTTCATTAATTATAATTTGCATTTTAATATATATATAATATATAATTTAAATTATAATATATATCATTTTAATTTGCTTTATTTCACTACTGCCATAAACTCAACGCTGTTATTAACCTTATGGTGTAGACGGTAGTGAAGTGCTCGGTCTGAAAGCCATGGGTGTTTCAGGGACTGGGATGCACTCATTCTCCAACTGCACAAAAAAAAGAGAGACTTGCATTAAAACACAAACACCCAGGTAACTTTTCAGAATTAAAAATAGAGGATTTGTCAGACTTAGCCAACTTCTGGGGACACACAAACCTTTTGCTCTTCACAAGCAGGCGTGAGATGAAGTCTTTGGCCTCCTCAGAGATGTCGGCAAACTCTGCTTCTTCAAAACTCCACTGACATGCCAGGATGTTATTTAGTGTCTCATTATCATCCTCACCCAGGAACGGAGACAAGCCACTGAGCCTACACACGCAAACACAAGTACGTTTTACAAATCTCGCTCCTTTTGGTATTATATGATTGTTCATTGGTGTCTATGGACTCACAGCATGTAAGTGATGACACCTAAACTCCACATATCAGTTGGGAATGAGACAAATTCATAGTTGATAACTTCAGGAGCCAGGAACTCGGGTGTGCCAAAGTTCACCCTCAACTTTTCCCTGGGTTTATATCTGAAAGGAAGATGAAGAACAAATTGGCGTGATAAAAGCAGTAGATCCATATGACACAGTGGCTACGTTTACATGCACAATTTTTGGTTCAATCGGACTGAATTCATTCCGATTGATGAATCTGAATGTAGTGTTGACCATGAACGCTAAATAAAGTGATCGGGTTGATGTGCACGTTTATATGTCACAGGCTTCAAATCGGAATTGATTTTTTTTTACATGCCCACACTGCACAAATATAGAGTTTCTCACTGTTTGCACATAATAACCACTCTCCTACACGGTTTCTTTATTTGTTTTTAACAGCAGAATTAATATTTATCCATTTATGGACAAATATAGGCTACATGCATATAAACCGCTGTGCCGTGCTGCTCATATTTATCACGCAGTGCCCCTCCCCACGCCCAAAACGGGTTGCCTGTGGATGAAAGTCCAAAACAAGGACTGGTGGGAGGTTGTCCTGCTCCACTTCACAGTTGCCGAGTGAAAGGAGAGTTTTATAATGACAGGACACGCATTTATACAACACTTTATTCAAAAGGAAGAACCGCTCGTTCCGCGCGTCATACGTCATTACGCTATTTCTGCATCATTACACATGCGCAGTCCTTTCAGTTTCGGGGTTCAACTTCAATCCGATCGAGTGTTTACATGCACTCTCAATCGTATTAGAAGAGGAATAAACCACCCCCTTCAATCCGATCGAAATTTCATTCCGAGCGAGCTCAATCGGATCGATTAAGGTGTTTACATGAAGGCTTTTCAGTCCGATTGAGCCGTCAATCCGATTACAAACGGATTAACGTTATTTGGTTGCATGTAAACGTAGCCAGTGTAAACACATACACAGAAACAAATAGCCTACTAACCTTCTTGCAAGCCCAAAGTCAATTATCTTCACCTTGTTTGTTTGTCTACTGACACAGAGAATGTTTTCAGGCTGTTGACAGTGTAAACACAGGTATTTCAAACTTCTTGTTCTTTTTTATGCTGCTGTTAAAACTGTTAAATGCTGTTATTAACAAGAATGTGTCTGGTACCTTTAGGTCGAGGTGTAATATGTACATCTTGTGCATATACTGAAGCCCTTCACTGATCTGTCTGATGAACAGAACTGTGTCCAACTCGGTCAGCTTGTAGTTCTCATCTATGATCCGGTCAAACAGCTCTCCGCCATCAACACTAGGGGGTACACAGGGTACACAAAATACACATAGAAACAAAGCATGAATGAGATTCAGTTAGAGAGAATGTCTGTGTGTGGAATGTGTTTTTCGATGTAACTTACTACTCCATCACTAGAATGATTTCATGTCGAGATTCAAAGGTGGCGTAGAGCTGGATCAGATTGGCATGATTCAACTGGTTCATCACTTCAATCTCACACTTTACTACCTCCTGACAACACAAACTTGTATGAAAATCAATGATTCATTACAATTCATTTATTATGGTTTTAAAGCAGTGGTTCGAGAACCAGTGTTGATATCTAAAAACTAGCTAAACTAAATTAATACTATGAGAAAATGTTGTAAAACTGAATAAAAAGTAAAGCTGAAATAAAATACAATATAAATATTAGATGTAAAATTTAAATGAAAAAAAACTAGAAAATAAGGAAATTACTAAAACTGAAATATAAAAAAAAGAAAAATGACAAAAGCAGATAACCACATTACTAAAACGTAAACCAAAATTAAAACTGAAAATACAAAAATAAAAGCTGATTCAAAACATGAATCAACACTATAATAGTATACATATAATACTAAAAATATCACTGTTGTGGGTCACCAAGTGGTCCATAAGTTAATTGGGTGATTTAAAAAAAAAAAAAAACAGGAATGATATCTTAAAATGGACACAGGCATTTACCTTCTCTTTCTGACTCCTGGCTTTAATGATCTTTGCTGCTAATACGAGGCCAGAAGATTTCTCTACACATTTGTGCACCATGCCAAAGCGTCCTCTATCAAAATCAAAATAAGAAACACATTTAAATCACAAAATTTGGAAACTTTAAATTTCCACATTCTTTT